AATTCCCTAGCATTGAGCCAGGGCAGTTAAAGAGGTCTCAAACTGGATTATTTTTGCAGTGTGTTTTGGACCCCTATTGCAGACATCAAAGATGTCAACAAAATTTCCAAAGGGACCCTGACAAATGAACTGGCAAACAAGAACTCATCAGCAAATTTAATTCAATTGTCTTAAATCTGATTATTAAAAGCAGACCCACTGAATTAATGGAATTTTTGTAATTGTGGATTTACAAAGTTCACTCCTGCTCAATGGCCATGCTCTATTGGGACTAACAGTTGAGTCTATGGCTGACACTACACTGCAGAATGAATGCAGTTTGACACTGTTTTAACTGTCATGGCTCCATCCTATGGAATCCTGGGATTTGTAGTTTGTTGTGGTACCAGAGCTCCATGGCAGAGGAGGCTAATTGGCTAACAAAACTACAAATCCCAAAATTCCATAGCATTACTGCAATGTGTTTTAACAAGGACACTGGATTTAACAAGAACTACTGAAGTGTCAGAGTAATATAACTTGGGGGGAAATGTCAGAGCAACTGCTGCTGTGTACAGGTAATTCAGTTATATTGCATGTGTTTGGGATTTATGTAGAAAAATGATATAACTACTGCTGTCCTTGGTTTTCTGGCTGCTCTTTGTAACCATTTAACTCCTCCACCCCTTTTTACTTCTCTGTCTGTTTATGACAATTGATAATATTGTACTCAACTGAGAAAATGAGCTTTCCTTTACAAAGCTTATGTCATGATAATGGTGGCATCTTCTTGGTTACTCCCATTTGAATAGACTGATTCAATTCTTGAATGGTGAATGAACAGGCAGGTAAATCCCATTGATTCATTGGGTGTGCTGTAGTCAGGAATAACAAGAGGATTTACGCCTTAGTGTTACACTCAAGGTGTTGTTGGGTGGTTTTTTTGTGCTACAAACTAGCAGGGAAATGTATTGGCCAATGGCCAAGTGTTCTGGGATTGAAGTCCAAAGAACGGTATCTGAAGGAACAAAGATGGAGAACCACTGTTCTAACCATCAGTAAAAATCCAAATCTCTTTCCATATGGGTGGGGAACCTTTGGCTCTCTGGTGGTCTGTTGTTGTTTTGGACTGCAGTTTATACAATTCCTTGCCATTGGCTATAATAATTGGGGATTATGGGATCTGAAGTCCAAAACATTGACAAAGCCAGAGGTTTCATGCCTTTGGCTCTTAGATAGCAATATATGCTTCCAAAGACTGCTGTACCTTATTCCATTTTTTTTTTCGAGGACAATAATAATAAAACACACTTCAGATGAACAGTCTTGACATGTCTTCTTGTTGCTGATGTTTTGTTCATTCAAGTCATTTTTAATGACCTTATCACAGGGTTTTCTTAGCAAGGTTTATTCAGAGGGCATTTGCCATTGCCTCCTAAGATCACCCAGTGGGTTTCATGGCCGGGCAGGGATTCGAACCCTGCTCTTCAGATAGTCCAATGCTCAAACCACTGCATCACACTGGCTCAATTTTAACATGTCTATTGGGAATGAAGTCTCATGTCCTGTTAAATGTACAGTGGGCCTTTGGTATGTGCTGGGATTTGGTTCCCTCCCCATGGATACCAAAATCCATGGATGCTCTAGTCCCATTATATATTATGACATAGTAAAATGGTGTCCTTTGTATAAAATGGCAAAATCAAGGCTTGGTTTTTGGAACTGGTATTTTAAAAAATATTTTCAAGCTGTGGATGCTTGTATCTGTGGATAAAATATCCATGGTTATTGAGGGTGGACTGTACGTTTTTTACAACTGTTGTTTCATACTGAAGTGTGTTTCTACACAGCAGGGTGACCAGACATCCTCCTTTTCCAGGACATGTCTTTCATTTCAGCCTTCTGTCCACGATGAATTCCAAATGTCCTTCATTCTGAGCATAATTAAAAAGCAGTGGTGAAGGGTCTGAAAACCATGCCTTATGAAGAGAGACTTAGGGCCTTTGCAGACTGCCAGAAATAGTGCACATTAA